AAACCAGCCACACTAGCCAGGAATGGAATTGCCACCGCAATAAAGAAGCACCCGTATCCAAACATAGCCCTCATGATTGATCGCAGCCACCACGGGCAAGGCTTCTTAAACCTCTCCGTGTAATTTGATTCCATGTGGTCAAACATTGGCATACCGTAAATTTGGAACGAGCTCACTGCATTAATTATGACGAAGAAACTTACCAACCCTAATACCGATCGTGCAACATCTTGACTGTGAAAGGTGTATAATGCTGTTAGCATGCCACCGTTGGCTGGAATCTGTCAAATATGTGAAACCGGTCAGTATTTTGAACAAAAGATTTTTAATTAAACTTAATTTGGAGTCTGTTAAGAACTTAATTACCATGTGACCATAGGCCCAATAGCCTCCAATGGCAATTGGGAATAAGCACAATGCTACGATCGTATATGCACCTTTTACTCCTCTCCACATTGGCACGCTCGAGGGATGCTTCTCATCAGAAGGCATGGTAGCCTGTAGCAGTTAAAAAATGACACATTTTCATATTAATGTCAACCAAAAAATTTCATGATTTTCGGCTAATTATTGTCATTCTATTCAAAATTGTAGAAAAATGTTGTTAGAAAGTCAAATTCATCTACACACGCAATATTCGGTCGGTCAAATGTCAAAAACAATTTTTCCTTTTTTCTAAAAGGGAAAGTATATTGAAGTTCAACGTAAATGTGTGACAGAAGACTTTTACGTACTGAATTTTACGACTTTGTAAAGAGGAACATGATGATTTGATTTAAAAAATTGCTGCATAGTTCTAATCAATTAAAGCGTATCGTATTCATATAGATATAAAATTATTGGGAAATTTGGATAACTAATAAACATGTTCACCTGGATTTCAAGAATGAGATTATGGCCTCTGAAAGCGAAAGAAATGATCCCAAGTGCATTCAGAACATCAAAAATCCTTGCAATTTCTGTGCCAGCTCTCACCGGATTGTACGACACATTAGGTAGCCTGCCCTTGGCCACGGACACCACCCATATCATGGTGCAATAACCGACAGCAGTAATAGCCCCTATCAGCGACACACCAGCAATGGAGTTCATGTTCGGCAGCTGAGACAGAAGCACCGCTGCACATGTAAATACCAGGTACCACTCCACGGTGGTCAATGGCTTAGAGGTGCATGTGGCTCCACACAGAGTCTGATAGAACATCTTAGACGTTGAACCTCCGACCACAATCAGAGCCACACATGTACCTCCTGATAGATACATGATTGGAAACAAAGCTAAGAACTTGGAGAGTTTTTCACCAAAAGTTGCACTTGCTAATTGCATGTATCTGCTGTATCGAATACCATCTTCGTATGATTCATGGAGTTGCACCATTAAATAGAGTGTATATAGCTGCCATATAAATGCTAGTGTTAAGCAAATGACACCCCACGTCCTGCAATCAAAAAGATATACTATTATTGAATATAACTCATAATTTATGGATATATAATATATTATATGAATTTAGAAAACCCGCTAGTCATATTACCAGCCAAGAACGGTGAAGGCGACGGGGAGTACAAGGGCCTGGATTCCAATCCCTGAACACAAGGTATGATAAGCTGCATAGTATGCATTTCCATTTCTGGACTCAGTAATTGGAAGCCAAGCATCTTGTGGGTCGAGCTTTGTGAGTTTGAGGGCCTTCCTTATAGGGCTCCCCAAGGGAGTAATGAACCTTGGAGTCCGAAATCTTGGGGTTTTCCTGATCACAGTACCACCCGGAGTTAGGAGTGGTGAGCGGGATAAAGATGGGGAATGGAATTGCGAAGGAGGAGCCGATACTATTATGGACGGAGTTTGGGCTATAGGCGGTGTTGGAGCCATTGATGCTGGCCGAGGAGTTAACGGAGCAGAGTTTACTCTATCATTGTCTTCCATTCTGTATTTTTACACTATGATTTTGATAAAATATCTTCTGATATTTTCTACTCCTTCTTCCTCACAAATTATGCTGAGAATTATGATACAATATATATAGATGTTATAACATGTTATTTAGTGAATTGTACCATGTTTAACACCAATGGAATGTTTGTAGTAATAGGAGGGGTTAAGAAATTAATTAATACGAAATGCTGATGACTGATTATGAGAGAATGTACACTTTTACAAAATTGGTTGGCTGCTTTGCTTCTTTTTTCTAGCTTGAAATTGAGAGCACGTAGCATCCTTTATATGAGATTGGTCATCCTTGGGGTGCTTAAATATCGCTTTGTTTGGTAGGTAAGACGGAAGAGTGGCAAAATTAATATTGGTGGATAATATTTTTAATTTTTCATTCAAAAAAATATTGTTTGCATAGTATATAACAATGTAGAGGTGCACCCTATCATCTAAAACGAAAGGTAAAAAATCAAAGATCAAAGAGAAAGATGCTTTCACCACTAAGAAAGTATAAAAGATAGTCATGAAAGAAACCAGTTTCACTGTGAACCATAAAACATAACGTGGGTTGGATAAGAAAACATATAATAGTCCCCCGGGGCATATCCCAGTGGTACAAAGGATGAGGGTGAGGTATACTCAACCTTGTTGACAGCCGTAATATGAGGGTTCGATTCCTGAAACATGGATTTGGACTTTTTGTGGACACCAGTGTACAGGTAGTTCTTATTTCCTGGTCTATTGGAGCACATTCCCCGATTAATCTCTCTCACGATACTTTAGGGGCGGGGTCGTGGAGGACCCTTAAGGTTGGGGTTCAACCTTTTTAATAAATGATATTTTTATAAATTCATAATTTCTACCTAATACCATTACTTATAATTTTATACTTAACTCCTTAAACGGTCTTAATCAATCACCAACCTCGATGAATAGATAAGCTATTGGGATTGTTGAGATGAATAAATTATTCACAGGTCAATGGGTTTCAGAATTTGCTGCTAATAGAAAGAAATTATA